TTTTATTTATCCCATCTCCTAGCCTTCCTCTCTCATATCTTAGTTTCCCAAATGCCTTGAATTGAATAGCTTTTCTCCTAGATGTATTTCTACCTTAATGTTTTGGCATAACCAGATGGCTGTGACTTGACACATCTGAAACTGTAACCAAAACAGAATTTTCCTCCTTTAAGTTGTAAGTATCAGATATTTTACCACAGAAATGAGAAAGTTCACGAGTATACAGAATTGGTACCAAGTAACTGAGATCATTACTGCTTTATATCTTATTATGTGATTTAGCACCTATAGGATTAGTTCGTGGAAAGAGTTGGGAAAAGTTTGTAGAACCAGGCTAAACATATTGAAATACTATGACTAAATCTTCATAAACAACTATAATTTAAATTCAGAAGATCAGAACTCTGAGAAGGGAGATCAACAGTAAAGACTGTATGTATGAAGATGGTATCAGTTGTGAATAAGGACTCCATGGGGAACTGTCCTTGAGCCATTCATGTTTTATTCTGGCAAAAAACTTGTCCACATTTTGTCCATGCCCTAAACCTTCAGAGGTGACTGAAATTAAATGTAGTACACTAGTTAATCTTATAGGGAAAATTTCAGGGTAACTTGTGCAGGGAACCACATGGATAAAGTTGACTTTTACCAAGATTTATGGTGACTACTGGCAGAAAAACAAAACAAAACAAAGCAAAACAAAACAAAAAAACAGACCAGAAAGATATCAAAAATTGGCAGTTTAACTGGAAAAGGAGCACATGTATTTGGGGCCAAAGAACATGTGGTCCTTGAAGAAATTTTGTGCTATTAAAAAGAAGCAAGCATTGTGCACTAGAAAAATAAAAAAGATAACTGGAGGGCACCTCTGGAATTATCCAGGCCTCATTCATTGCAGGCTCACAGGTATAAAAATGTAACATTGTTAGGATAATTCTACTTCAAGAGAAGAGCCCCAGTGTGCCTTTCTCACTCATGGCCACTTGTGAGAGAATTTCCCTGTGGTCAGCTTACTAGGTGTGGACAGCACACTTGAGTCATGGTCTAAAAGGGACCAGATATTCTCACACTGGTGTTAGAACATGGCATTGTCACATGCTACAGAATACTAGAGTTGTAGGGTCTTGGAGGCTTCTAACCAAATTTCAAAGAAAAATCTACAAGGCTGGTCAATGTGTAACAGGATCCATGTCCTTGCAAGGAATCTCTAATAAAAGTGCAGTGCTTAAAACTGTGGGGGTGAGGCCAAAGCTAAAATAAAGATCAGAGGCATTTAGAAATGCCAGGGATGCGGAGATCACAGGCAGGAAGCAGAGCCAAACCAAGAAAGAGGATCCGGAGCTGCAAGAGGCAAGGACACACAGTGCAGCTGCCCTTTGGGAGCTCACATTATTGAACCATATACTGTAGATGCTGGATATGGGCTTACAGGATTTAATTTTGCCCTGCTGGGCCTTTAATAAATGTGGTGGCGTTTACCATATGTAGCTCTCTTTCGTGACTGAGATTTGGTGTGTTAGTTTTTTGTGTAATATTGAGTTTATTTCCAGTTTGGGTCTGTAGCAAAAATTATGTAGATTTTTTAGCTGTGATTTGTGTGTTATGACACAATGGAATCAGGGTGAGAGACACCCTCATCCCTGCAAGATTTGAAAAATTATGGACACTCTGGTACCTGGGACAGATATGCTGCAGGAAGCAGGGTGCTGTGGGCAGAAAGCACCCTTGTGGTTACTCCTATCAAGAATGGCATCCCTAACCAGAATCTGAAGATTTCAATAGCCCCTTGCTGATAGCAGCTCTGTTACTTAAGAAAGATTTGGATATTCATTATTCCACTTGTATTAAAGGATATGAAGCTCTTTTGATTGAAGACTGATATAGATATAACTATATCATGTGGAAGGAGGGCTGGGATCAGAGCTCTTCTTCTGTGAAACTCACCTTAAACTTCATCAGCTCTGTGCAACATGACCAAATGTAGCTGTAATCATTATAGAGCAACCAGGCAGAAAGCATGTTAATCATACCATGCTTTTTCCATTGTTTCCACTATGAGGGTATCTTCCCAGGAACCAGAATCCAGCTTTTCTCTATGTTTACCTGGGGTAGCAGCTTATATGCTTTTTTCCTTTAAGTAGAAGTATATGCATCGTCTCAGTGGGAAGGGTTTATGAGTGAAAATGGTCTTAATTCCTTTAATTTACTCAGAGACAGAACTCCTGCCTAATATGTGCAAAACCCTGGACTAAATGAGCAGCCCCAAGAGAAAGAAACCAAAAAAATTGAAGAGTAAAATAAAGCAGGATATATTATTATAGTAACCCACTTTGATTTCCTATTAACTTGATTTGAAACCCTGTATAGCCCTCACCATCTTGCTTTGACTGATTTTCCTCTATTCTGCTTTACTTGATAGTACTAAGTTCGAAAGTATAGGCAACAACTGTAAAGACAATAAGATTCATTATGACGCCATTTGGGTTGACTATTATCTTCTTTTAAAGCCCTGTAATGTCTCCAGTGTTTTGGTTTAATTCTTTACTGTTTTGTTCAATTTTATGAAAACTGATGATATAGGCAATTCTTTTTAAGATAGCAAGAGGCAGTATAGTAACCATCGTCGATCACCTAGTATTTTGTTTTTACATTTTCTATTATGTTCATCCTTTTGATCTGACTGACTCTGTTCTGTTATGTCACATTTGGTTTTACTCTCTTCAAAAAAAGTAATAAGAACTGTGGCAGTAATAAAACCCAAGATGTGTAATTGTCATTATACAAAAGAAAGGAAAAGAAAGCGCTCTAAAGAATATAACCGCATGCATATTTAAGTGTATAAGATAGATAACCATATTACTGAGTTTTGTTGGATCATTGAACAAAACTGTTTCCAGTCTCACTGTTTGAAAGTCCACTTTATATTGTTTATTTTTTCTCAAATTCTGTATAACTTGTACCCTATTTCTGTTTTTTTTCTTTTTCTCCTTAATAAAAAAAAAGAAAAAAGTTAAATGTAGTTTAATATTTTAAAAGGTTTTCTCATGTAAAAAGTAGGGCATATCTAATACCAATATTTTGTGGTATTGTGGTGAAGATCAAATGAGGTCAGGTAAGTACACTACTCAGGAATAATACCTGCACTTGGTAACCTGAAAAAAGTTTTTTTTTTTTTTCTGTAGTTTTATAAGAGTTCATTAGATACAATTTTATTATGTTTTATATTAACACCACAGACAGCTAATAACGTGTTAGGCTCTTCATCTCAGAGATCTTATTCATCTTATAGAATTAGCAAAAAGTGATAATGTACTGTAAATTAAGTATTCATAAATATCAACTAAATTACGTTAAAATGTAGAGACTTTTCATAAGAATTGATGGGAAATCAGGTGTATTGCTTTTACCACAACATCTGACAATTACAAAAGACTCTAAAAATGATATAAGTGTTACTGAATGAAAGACAGAAATCTAAAGAAATTGTGAAAGAGAACATTTAAAACATTTGTAAATGTTATAGTTTCAAGGATTCAGAAATGTTTGAAAGATGATTTATGTCATTCAGACTTTGCTCCCAGGAGAGCCAAGAGAATGTGGGCATGAATTTAGCTGCTTCACATCACACAGCGTCATCACTGCATGGTGTTTTAATAGTGTAGTGCTTCACATTTTGATCAAAGATTCAAAGCAGGAAAAACTATGGGCTCCTTAGGAAGTTAGCACAATAAATCCAGAAAAATGAAAATGATGTCTTCCTTCTGGGACACTGCTAATCCAATCATTGGCTCACATACATTCTGCATAGGGATTTGTAAAGTAAAACACATGCATTTGCCACATATAAAAAGAATAAAGATGTGTAAACCTGAGAGTATTTATACTTTTGTCTTTCCCCAATGCCACAAGCCAGTGTACAGAACCACAAATGCTATCACTGAGCTAAGATTCAAGATACAGTTTCTATATTTTTTTAACTGGAAGAATGGAATTCTTTGGCAGATAATGGAGTGATAGTTGGAGCCTCAATAAATCTCCCAAGGCCACGTGAATCTTAGTGAGCTAAAAGTCAGTTTCAGGTATTGAGAAAAATGGTAACACTTTTAAATATATGTCAAAAAAATATATTTCATAATTATGGTCCCAGAACATCCCATAAACATTACAATTTCTAGAAGGATGTTTGAATGTATTTAAAGGAATTTTGCTAAATAATGTAAAAGATACATAAAAGAAATTGTCTAATGAAGTATACTTAACACAGAAACCTTGCAATATTCTCTGGAGATATGTATTTCTTGAATGCTTGTTGGAAAGCTGATGACTGTATCTAGCAATCTAACTTTTAAAAATAACATTTCTCAAGCACATTAACTGTCACACTATTTGCTAATAAGAAGATAAAAAAGGACCACACATTTTATTACTTCAGAACTGAGGCAAATTCTTTTTTGCCTAGGAAATTTCAAATATTGAAATTGGACATGAAGCCCAAGATTAGAGACAGGAAACTCTACCTCATCTTGAGGATGAATTATTCCCTTTCCAAGCAGATGGAGAAGAATAAAACATTTTACCTTAAAAACACCATTCAATTGATTAATACTAAAAGAAAGATACTCCACGAATATTCCAATAAGTTATTTCAGTGTGTTTTCTTTCTATTTACTGTCTTTCTCAAGGCTTTTTGTTTATCTCACACATGTTTTGGAGGCAGTAAATGTAGAAAAGAATGGAAAACCATGTGAAAAGAAAATCTTCCTTCCAATGGAAGGATATTCTTCACAAAAGGAAGGGAAAATAAATACGATTAAGACTATGCTGTTTTGAAGGTGAATTAACAGAACCTAGATAGTATAAAACACACAATTACATCAGGTATTATCATTCTACAGTGGTGCACACATTCAACATGTGCTAAAAATTTCTTATCTGGGTCAGATGCGAGGACTGCAGTGAAATTCCTCATCCCACTTTAGGAAGAATCTCAGGTTTAGCTTTCATCCATCTGCTTCTCCGGAGCAGTGCAGTAGTTTTCTCAGAGCCGTCTTTACCTCCTTGTTCCTCAAGGTGTAGATAAGAGGGTTCAGCATCGGTCCTACCAGATTCATCAGGATTTGGACTACAGTCCCCAGCATGGGGTTGGGTGTGGGTTGCAGGTACACGGTGATGATGGGCCCATAGGCACAGAGGATGGCGATCAGGTGGGCACTGCAGGTGGAGAAGGCCCGGCGCCGGCCCTCCCTTGTGGGAATGCTCAAAATAGAGACCGTGATTCGAGTGTAGGATGCTAGGATTAGGAGAAAGCAGACAAGGGACACTATGCCAACGTTTATGAAACTCACCCTGTGTGCCACGGATGTATCCGCACAGGCCAAAGGCAGGAGGGCAGGGATATCACAGAAGAAGTGATTCACCTCATTGGAACCACAGTATGGCAAGGTAAAGGTGAGAGAGGTCAAGATGCTCGAGTGGACGCAACCCAAAAGCCATGTTCCCACAGCCAGGGTCACACAGACTCTGGAGTTCATGATGACTGTGTACCTCAGAGGGTGACAGATGGCAGCAAAGCGATCATAGGCAATCACAGTGAAAAAGAAGCACTCAGCACTCCCGAGGAAATGGAAGAAGAAGAGCTGGGTGACACAGTTTTGGTAAGAGATGAGCTGGCTCAGTCCTACAAGGTAGAGCAGCATTTTGGGACAGGTCACAGAGGAGAATCCCATGTCAAACACAGACAAGTTACCCAGGAAGAAATACATGGGTGTGTGAAGGCGTGTAGAGGAAATAACAATCACAAGGATGGACAAGTTTCCCAAGAGAGTGCAGACATAGAAAGGCAAGAATAAGAAAAAAAGCATTGTCTCCAGCCCCTGTGTGTGTGGGATTCCAAGGAGAATGAATTCAGTTACTGCTGAGTGGTTCCTTACATCCATGAGATCCGGTTCTTGGAGAAAAAGAAATGAGACAGTGTGGGAGAATTTCCTGGTTACAGTTATCAGTGAGAGAACGTAGTTGAAAAATGAGATGTAAATGAGCATCTTTTGGTTCTAAATTATGAAAGGATTGGTCCAAGCTCAAGGGCATTTTAACTGGAGTGCAACTGTCATACACAATTTAACAGTTGCTACAGCTAGTTGTTTTGTTTTAGTGATTGCTTGTGTAGATATTCTTGAGATTTCTGTTTGTTTTGTTTTGAGACAGAATCTCACTATGAATTTCAGGATGGTGATGGGTTCACTTTGTAGCAGGTTTGTGTCAAACTGGCAAACAATTCTCCTGCCTCAACCTCCCAAGTTCTGGGATTACAGGAGTGTGCCACCAGGTCCAGCTTTTTATAGATTTTTCTTATTGCAAAAAAATTTTTGGTACTAGGGTCAGTCATGTTGCAAAGTATTTTTAAGGAAAAATAGGCCAAAGATTTTTAAAGATAAAGACATGATTAATAGAATTTTTTTCTGTTCCTCTGTCACAGTAGGAGGATACCAGGCACTAGAATCATTTAAGCTCATTTTACATGTGGCTGGGAATAAAATGACAACCTCAGAATCACTATATTTGTTAATCAGCAGTAGTTACTTTACATTTCACTTTTAAGTCATAGAAAAAGTTATTTCCTGATGTAGAGTTCTAAATGTATACGTGTGATCTAAGTTCACTTGATTCTTAGAATAACAGTTTGTGGTTTATCTAGAGAAAAGAAAATATTTTAATAGTATAAAGATTAAGCAACTCTCTCAAATTAAGATAATTTGTAAAGATTCCAACCTGTTATCCATATCTCCTTTAAGACATTAGCATTTTCACACTACTGTATCTTTGATAAATTGCAAGCACTACTGACTTTGTTAAACATTGTTAATATTGTTTTTCTTTCAAAATTTGAAACATTGCTTTCCTCTACAATGAGTCATTGAAAATCAGGCTGTGTTTGCATCCTTGAAGCACATACGTGAACAAACACATACAGACACACACCTGTGCATGTGCACGTGAGATCCCACTTTGACAAATACAAAATCTGGGAGATAAAATATCTTTTCACGTTTATTGAATATATTCCCAGAGCCAAGACAGTGCCGGACCCAAGCTAGACAGGCTCTCAGGATGCTGAGAGAATGAAATGAGTTAGTGAGTGGCTGGGAACAATCAGGAACCGCTTTCTTGTTTTGTACCAGGACTATGAGACACTGTCAGATAGTGAAGAACTGCAATCACTTACCTTTCTTCTTTGCCCCATTGCACCAAATACTTAGAATTTTACCAATTATGGTAAATGCATGATCAGACACAAAATAAGAATTACATTAATTTATACTTCCTATAAATAAATTTTGATTTTTGTACTTTATGGAGAGAAATCAACTGATGATATCCAGGTTTAGGTTTATTTGCAATTCTCATTCTGTGAATATTTCTACATCCATCTATATTCCTGGTTATAAGGAAAATTCAAGAATAGCCCCAAATTCTTCTTCATCCTCAACTCATAACAAGATTTGTAAACTAAGGAATCAAAACACTCCTCTCTCCATTGGATATATAAGTCATTTCAGAAGAGGAAAAATAAAGAAGATGGAATATTTGCAACTCCTAGAGAAGAAGCTCAACTGTTCTACCATCTATGCATCTGCTTTTTTAGGATGATGGTTCAAATTTGCCCTGGAGAGCACATTACAAGCCAGAGTCAGGGGCTTTCTCTTATGATCTGCATTTTCTTCTTACCAAAATAAACCCAGATAAGTGACATAAAGTTTAATGTGACTCTCTCTTCTTCATAGGTGTTTCCCAAGACACTAATAGTTGTAATGTTCCCCCATATATGAATTTAAATTTCCCTAAATGTCTTTGAGGTTCTGTGTCTGAATGGTTCCTATTCAAGCAGATTGCTGAGCAAAGGGAATAGCAATTAAATGTTAATCAGTGAGGCGGCAAGAAAGAAAACAGTAATCCTCCTCCTGTGAAATTACTGGGTATTGCCATTAGGGACTCATTCTGCACTTTCCATATTTGTGACTGACCCAGGAAAATAAGAGAACAGATGAAGGGTACAGCTCAGTCTTAGGACATATGTAGAAACCATGTGTACTGTGTAAGAATATATTATTAAAATGAAAAATTAAGTTAGTCTTTTTATTCTGACTTCCAAACAAATTAATCCCATTTTCTCCATAATTATTTCTATGCACTGAATTTTGTATTCCCAAAATTCATAGATTGAAACCTTATCTCCTTTGTCCATCTTTAGGGTGTTTTAATAGTAGTGACTTTTAAAAGCTGATTAAGGTTAAATGAGATTTTAAATATAGAGTCTCTGTCCCCTTGTATACAAGAGAAGTACACACACACACACACACACACACACACACACTATTTTCCTATTTCTGTCTCTCTGTCTCTGTCTCTGTCTCTCTCTCTCTCTCTCTCTCTCTCTCTCTCTCTCTCTCTCTCTCTTTCTCTCTCTCTGTCTCCTCTCTATTTCATTGCCCTTTCATCCTGTCTTCCCACCATGTAAGGACACAGTATTATCATGGCTACTTTTTACTCCCTGAAAACCCTGAAGAAACCATAATCTTGAACTTGGCAGTCTCCAAAGGAATGAGACAGTAAGTCACTGTTGTTTATGTTAAAAGTTTATAGCATATTTAAAAAAAATAGTTTATTTGTGTAGCACTCACATGCTTAATCCTAGCACTAGACTATGAGTCAATCACAAACTCTACATACAGTCACCTCTGAAAAGCCCAACCCTCATGACTGTGAGCAGATTTTGGCAGACACAGAAACACAAACCATAGCATTCCACCCTTTGTCCCCTGAGGCTTTGTGTGCATTCCTTTACATAAAAATATTTAGTCCATTTCCAAGAGTTGCCAAATGCTAAGAGCTTCAGCATTGTTGAAAAGCCCATGTTCCAAATCTCTCCTGAGATTTAAGGCAAACTCAGCTGTGAGTCCCTATACAAATGAAAAGTTAAACACTTCCAGCATTCAATGGCACGAGGTACATCTTTCCATTCCAAAAGTTATACATGGGATGAATCAAAGGGATGGGCCTAAATCACATCCAAAATCTAGCAGGGAAAACATTAAGTCTTACAGGTCCACATGTAGCATCTAAATCAATCTGTGGCAAGATGTAAATTCTGAAGGGCTTCAGCGGTTCTGCCCCAAACCTCATTTCTGGCAGTGGTAGCACCGGTGACTTCTCTCTTGGGCCCACTCAGATGCTTCCTTGTAGTTTTCATCAGATGATCCGTGTTTCTGGTTTTTCCAAACTGATAGCGTCTCCACTCAGACTTCAGCTATACACTCACAACTTCACACGCTGCCCTCTCAGTGACACTTTGCTTGTCCTCCCAGACCTTCCTCTGAAATTTGAGCAGAAATTTTCCTGCCCCTACGATTCTTCCATTATGTATGCACCTAAAACCAGTGCCACGTGGAGGATGTGAAAGTCTGGTAACAACTGGAATAACATCAAGGCTTTTTTCTCTCTTGGCTGTCGGAATGAATTCTAGGGTCACTGAGCTTTTTGAATCCAATTCCAAGGAACAAACTCTCTAGGCTGTCACTGTCCTGGAACATGAACATCTTACTTTTTCTTCTCAGAGTGAAGTCACTCACTTTTGCAATTTTGATGCTGCAAATGGTAGAGTTCTGCTGCTTCTTGTGATGCTTACAAGCTATCTTTCCTATTATGTTCTTTCTCAACAATCAAGATCAAATCCTTTACTCTTTGTGGTCCATAATTTTAGTGAAACTTCCTTTCTAGCTAAACCTGCAACATTTTGAATCATTTTGTGGCGTTCTTTACTCTTGCTTCTCAACATAAATCTAGCTAAATGTATACACTCCCCTGCCTCAACATTAAGCTTCCTTGAAATTTCTTCTTCTAAATTAATTAGGCTGCCCCCTTAATCTCAGTAAGCAAAACCGAGACAAAGTTTCCTTCTGCCAGTCGAGTGCATATTCCCAGAAGAAACCACCTGAGCCTGGTCTTCACAAGTCCTTTGGTCTTCTTAAGATCTGATCAGAATCTTGCATATAGCAAAACCTAAGAAATTTCAGCTTTACTCTTTTAGCTGGCATCTCTTTTCCAAACTCTTCCCACAAGCTATTTCCAGAGGCTTCTGAATTACATGGTCAGGTAAAGTCACAGAAACAATCCCAGTTCTCTGGTACCAAATTCTGTCTTAGTGACATTTCTCATTGCTTAGACGAGATACCTGACATCCATAGGTAAAGGGAAAAAGTTTTATTTTTGTCACAATTTGAAGAGTTATCAACTCATAATCAGCTGGCTCCAAGACAGGGTGGGATATGGCAGTGGTCAGCAGTTCATGACACTGGAAAACAGCAAAAGCAAGCACAAGAAGAATTGGGATAAGCCTCTTTATGGCCCATATACTTATTTTATGGAAGTCACTCACCATTACATTCAGTGTAGCATTCACACCCTTAGCCCAAGCATTGGACCATGAGTCAATCACAAATTCTAGATTCAGCCACCTCTGTAAAGCCCACTTCCTCCATGACTGCATGAGCATTTGGGGGGACATCTAGACACAAGAAATAACAGACATCCTATTTTTCTTCCCACTTTCTGATGCAATTATGGACCTATGTAATATAATGACACCGTAATTAGTGCTGCTAAATATCATCCAATGGAAAAGCAAATAGGGTAACTATCACAATGACTATTCACCCAGAACCAGCATGGGGTGACTTCTGGCTCTTCCCTGAGTTCAGAATGATCATGGAAGATGATGTCTTGAATTGTTTCAGGACACTGAGTCAGTCACTGCAGCACAACTGAAGATATTCATGAAAAAAACTTTCAGAACAGCATCAGAAAGTGCCAAGGAATAAAAAGAAAGAAAAATCATGGCAAGCATTAAGAGCTAAATTTGTTGGAAGCAAAGAGCAGCATT